AAAGATAAAAATTACTGAGACCGTCAATATCGTAGAGCATATTGCGTCGGCAGACACCTCAAAAGCACCAATATCAAATATTTTTCTAGCAATTTCTTTTGTATTTATTCAAGTGCGAAACTCGAGATCATACATGTACCCAGACCTTGTCATGGTTTATGAGGCACTGAATTAAGGGGGTCGGCAGACACTTCAAAAGAACCGATACCAAATACTTTTCTAGCAATTTCCTATGTATTTATTCAAGTGCAAAACTCGAGATGATATATGTATCTTGTGCTAATGAGCTTTGTGAGGCCCAGACGTTGTCAAGGTCGGCAGTCGACACCTCAGAAATATGTACACCAATATCAAATAATTTTCTAACAATTTCCACTGCATTGATTCAGCAGCAAAACTCCAGATCTTCAGCTATCAAAGGCTTGATTTCACCTACGGCTACGGCTACAGCTAAATCACCAAGAAGGTTCTGTGGCCCGTCGAGAAACCCTTTTAGTTACGCTATGTATCCACTAAAACTAAAAAATTCACAGACCTTTATTAGGTCTGTAGAAGTCGCCAAACAACTCAAAACATGATAAAAAGACTTGTAATATCCAGATATAATTATTTTCACAATATAAACAAGCTAGCTAGCTATGAATTAAATCTTTATGAAAAGAGAAGCATGACGGCTAATAGAGAATCCTGCTATGGATGCCATGCATGAAAAAAATCCAAAAGCCGCGAAGAAAGCTTTCTATTGGGGCAAACTTGTGAAAAACGACAGGAATAACATTGTTTTCGGTTCTCAAAAGTTCAGTTGTCTTATTCCTGTCTTCTAAATTCTACAACTCGTGAACAGTGATAAAGATGTTGCGTCCTCCCTCAAGGGATTTCGTGTTTAGTAAGCCAAACACTGACGCCTCACGACTTTCATGATAAAACATGTTTCTTCTTGGTTTTCAATGTCACCCACAGTTTACATCAGGAATATGTTTTATCCTCTTTAGAGTTATTTGTTCGCATTTTGTCGCCTTATTGTTCCATTTTCTGCCAGAAGAACACAAAATGTTTCTCAATCCACGACGATAACATCCAACAAATGACAGACAAATTGTTGGATTGACAACGGAAGACGAGCGCAACGCAAAATGCGCAATGAAGTTGATAGATGGTTTCATAAAGGTGCAAGCCCGAGAGGATCTCAAAAGGGACGCGAAATATACTAACGTTTGAGGAATAATGCAAATGTAAAACAACACTACGTTAACAACGGCCATTTGAATAACTTTTCTTCGTTTTTTTTAGTAAATGTCGTTGCAGACTTGGTGCGGATTCAGCAAGGGCTTCATTCTGTCTTTTCAAGGTGACTGCTATCCAAGAATATAAAACGGTTATCAAAAATAACGGAACGATAGATACAAAGGTCCCATGATGCCCAGTATGTGCAGCGATAGCCTCCTGGTTAGGAAATACTGGTCCTCTGTACATCACTACACGAAACGTGTTACTACCACTTTCTACAAGTTTCGATGTTAATACCCATGGAATGTTTTCCACTCCTGCTAAAATACAAGTCGAAATGAGAGCTAGAGTGTGAATCTTGGTTGAAATAAGTCCAAGTTTCATTAGAAAAACCACGGCAGCAAATCTATCAATTGATATCCACGCCAAGCTTTGAGTAGAAACAAGGAGGGAAACTTCACGCAAGAAATTAGAAGACGTGCAAAAAATCGAGCCTAAGATTCCACTGACGTACCATTGCCATGAGTTGTTCATTAGAGGAGTGATTCTAACAGGGATAACACTCAGTAGAAACAGTAGGTCCGACACAGCCATGTTCACAATGAAATAGTTCACTGTTTTGGGCAGTCTCGCTTTCTGTAGACCATGATGATTATGAAGATGTTCCCTAACAAACTGCCGAGTAAAATAACAAAATATGTGCAAAGTTTAGATATTCTCTCAGGGTCGAATCAACAAACACACATGTCCAGTTCCGCTGGCTCAGTGTAGTTAAATAAAAGAAATCGTTGAATTCGATGTTAGTAACATTGTCTGCAGCTTTACTTTTCAAACTCAGTCTTCTGTCGAGCTAACCCTTTGGAAGCAAAATTCTTAACAAATTAAGGCATCTGTTAACACAATTTATTTAGAAATGAAATGCAATTTCGCTGGTTTTAAAAAGCTTTCCTTCTTTCATCCTTATATTGAAACTTAGATTGGTTTCTTCGCGCGTTCTAATTGGCTTATTAGGTTTTTCCAGGGTGTAATATAAGGGTTTAGCTTCATCTATTTGCTGGATATTAATATTGCTTCTTTGTTCAAGGCGGCTGATTTACCAAAGATACAAAATGTAATAATTACTAAACGGTAAATGCGCTTCCTCATCGCTGAAAAAAAAAGCGGAACGATAAATTTCCGCTCCGAAGAATAAAATGAGGCAGTTTAATTTAAAAGATAGCGTTTAAGTAATCACAGAGACAGTCATGATAATCCCAAAGAAAGCAATGTAAATGGTATACTCTTGTTTTAAAAGGATCTCAGTTTTTAGCGTTCTATTGCTTTATTCAGAGGCCCAAATAAATTTTGTCACTACGAGCAAGTTAACTAATTCAATACCATCTATTATTGAGAAGCTTAATGTTGTTTATAGAATCCAGTTATTTTAGTGCATAGTCTTAAGTTGTTTATCTCTGTGTAACTACAGTGAGAATCTTGTGATTCAATGGCGCAACAGTCCGTGCAATGAGTTTTGTAACTTTAAGTTGTTTTTCAGTTTAAGAGCTAAGAGCTCTCAACAGTATGCCACTTAAGATTTGAGTACGAGAACGACTTTTACAGGTTTCACATTATCACGTCACATGCCCATCTCATCCCATGAGCTACCCTACAATATATCTTCCTAAAAACCAACAGCTCTGAAACGGCTTTGAAAACGTCAATGGTTTAAACTCGAAACTGAATCGCACTCATAATAATAATGATAATAATATATGACTTTATTACCGTGTCAATTACATCTAGCAGTGGAGAATCCCCACTGCTAATAGGGGACACCTAACTAGAACTATCTAAAAATAATATACTGAAAAGTCCTATAAGAGAAATTAAAATTATGAGTTACAAAGATGGCAGCCACTATATCCATCTAGGATGTTGTCTGGATCTATCCTCCGTACGCGGGTCTAAACTACTCAATCTTATACTCGTAGTCCGATCTGAAGGTCCCTAACAGCTGCATTTGGTGGCCATGTTTGGGTTCGTCTTCTGGCCTTGCTGGTCTGCTGCTTGGCCTTGTTTCGGCTTCCTGTTCTCTGAGTCTAAAGTCTATTGGTTAATTCAAGTTTGCCTCTAAAAGTCGCATGAAAGTGTTTTGGTTAGTGTCCTAATGGGATCTCTAATCCTCCAAGGTCAGTTGTCCCTTGTGCACACACATGCCCAAGGATAGGGTTTTTTAAAAAAAGTGTTCATTTGCTAGTCGGGTCAGTTGAAGGTGGAGCGAAGTAAGTTGAATATAGACAAGAAGAAGCAGTGCTAGCGCTTCCGGAGATTCTCGTTGCCTTCCGAAAGTGAAGCGTCAGGAAGCTATTCACAACGTTCAAAAAATGTTAAAAGGCAAGTATAGCGGTCAAATGCGAATCCGACTATTGATGAGAAAAGAAGAGAAAAGCCTAGGAAGGATTATATTGCACCAAAACTACCAGTCGGTTCTCAGAACGGTTCAGTTGTCTCGTTTCTTTCTTCTAAATTCCACACTCGTGAACAGTTGTAAAGATAATGCGCCTTCACTCGAGGGATTTTCGAGCTTGCCGTTTCAAGGGCTGAATTGAAACACCTCTAGACTTTCACTACAAAGCAGTCATCTGATATGTTTCTTCTTGCCGAGTTTGTTTGTCATCAGGATTACATGTATGTTTTATTCATTTTAGAGTTATTTGCTCGCATTTAGTTCCCTACTGTTTCGCTGTCTGCAACAGGAACGCAACATGTTCCTCAATCCACGACGAAAACTTCGAACAAATAACAGACAAATTATTGGATTGACAACAGAAGACGATGACAACGCAAAACTCGCAATGAAGTAAATAGATGGTTTTAGCAAAACACAAGAAGGTCTCAAGTTGTATATGATATATTTCAATGTTTGTGGAATAACACAAATGTAAAACATCACTACGATAACAACCGCCATTTGAATAGCTTGCCTTCGTTTCTTTAGAGAAAGTCGTTGAAGACTTGGTGCAGAGTAAGTGAGGGCTTTATTCTGTCTTTTCAAGGCAACTGTTATCACGGAGTATAAAACAGTCATGACAACTAACGGAGCGAAGGATACAAGGGTCGTATAAAGCCAAGTATACGCAGCGAAAGCCTCTTGGTTAGGAAGAACTGGTTCGGTAAATATTATCTCACAAGCTGTGTTATTACCACGTTCTACAAGTTTCCAAGTTAACAGCCATGGAAAATTAAACACTCCTGCAAAAATCCAAGTCGAAATGATAGCTATTGTGCGAATCTTGGTTGAAATAAGACCAAGTTTCATTGGAAAAACCACGGCGACAAATCTATCAATTGCTATCCACACCAAGCTTTGAGCTGAAACAAGAAGAGACACTGAGCTTGCAAAATAAAACAACTTGCAAAAAATCGAGCCTAAGATTCCACTGACGTGCCATTGCCTTGAGTAGGTCGCCAATTGAGTTATCTGAACAGGGAGAAAAAACATCGGGAACAGCAGATCAGACACAGCCATATTCACGATGAAATAGTTCACTGTCTTGCGCAAATCTCGGTTTTTGTAGACGATGATGATTATAAACATGTTCCCGAATAAACTGCCAAGTAAAATAACACAGTACGCGCAAATTTGAGAAATTCTCTCAGCAGTCGAATCAACAAAGATACATGTCGAGCTCTGTTGGCCCGGAGCAGTTTCGTTTTGAAGAAAAGAACTCGTCGAATTCAACGTTAGTAACATGATGTGAGGCCTTACTTTTCAATCTCAACCGTACTGTCGATGCTAACCTTTTGGAAGCACGACCTTCAACAGATTAAGGCATCTGTTAACACAGTTTATTTAGAAATGAAATGCAGTTCTGCTGGTTTGAAAGCCTTTCCGTCTGTCATTCTTGTATTGAAACTAACATTGGATTCTCTGTGCTCCCTAATTGGCTGAAAAGCTAAAAGGAAGCAAGGCTTTGACTCCATCTATTTGCTAAATTAAGATTCCTTTTTTGCTCAGGACAGCTGGTTTACAAAAAAATTATCTTTTATCATTTATCATTTATCTCAACGGATAAAATAAAACATGTAGGACCGGGTCGATCGCGATGCTAACCCTTAAGATCCTTTTTTGTAGAGACTATTATTTTCATTCTACAAGCAAGTTTCTTTCACCTTCTTAAGGTAAGAAGCATTTTCAGATCGCATGCAAAAATAGTCGTTTTTTGTGTGAAAACAACTACCGCTTTGCACGTTAAGTGCCACTTTGTACATCAATCAACTGAAGTTGACAATAGGTTCTGTCGAAAAATGTCTACCAAACTTAAAAGTTTTGTCGTTTTCTTTAAATTCTTGACTTGTCTGCTAGTATCAAGACCCAAATAGATAAACGTAATAAAATGGCCAGTCGTCCAAGCAAGACACTGATAAGCCAAAACAAAGCACATATTGACTCAGAAACTACAATCAACGTATATAATACAAAATGTAGCGGCTACAGTTCACAAATCAAAATTTTCCCACCTGATAAGAACGATGGCATTAAATCAGTATTGGTTTTACACTAAACAACCTTCGGTTTGTTTTCCACCACTGGCACTACGACGGATGGAATAGTCAAGTCAAGTCAAAATTTAGCATTGCTATTGTTTTAAGAATCCTTTCCAATTAAGACTATCATTAGTTTTCTCTGTCTTCCTTTTATAAAAAAAAAACTGTTCACCTCTTACAGAGGAAGCCATTTGTAACTGCAAGTTATTTTTTATGGGAAAGCAAAAGTCCAGAACACCTGGATTTGATTTTCCCTTGTTACTGATCAGATACAGAATCTTGTTTGTAGCTTCGTACCAGAGGCAAAGAGGAACGATATGTTTCGTGTCGGTTGATAAAATTAGGTAGTGCGGTAATTTTAAAGCTAAGTATTTAAATGATCACTGAGAAACTCATAATAATCACAAAAGAAAGCGATATAGAAGGGTCCTATTTTCTTGGTTTTCAGCGGTTCAGCTGAATTTCACAGGCGGACTGAGATTGGATACTTCGTTCGCATTTCAGTTTTTTCATGGTTATTAAGTCATCAGTAATTATTATCCTTTGTAAACCAGCTGCCTTAAGCAAAGAAGGAAACGCAATTTAGCAAACAGATGAAGGCAAAGACTTGTATGATGCCCTGCATGAGAGAAAGCTTTTTTAGCCAATCAGAGTGCGCGGTGAATCCAATCTAAGTTTCAATAAGGGGATCAAAGAAGGAAAGCTTTTAAAAACCAGCAAAATTGCATTTCATTTCTAAATGAAAAGAGTCTTAATTCATTGAAGGTTGTGCTTCTGAAGGGTCGGCATGGACATTACCGTTGAGCTTACAAAGTATAGCTACAGATCATGTTACTGACATCGAATTCGACGATTTCTTTTAGTCGCAACGAAACTTCACTGGGCCAAAACAACTGCTCCTACTTGATTGTCGATTCGACTGCCGAGAGAATTTCCAAACTTTTCGCTTATTGTTTTATTTTACTGGGAAGTTTTTTGGGGAACATCTCCATAATCATCATCGTCTACAAACACCGAGATTTGCGAAAGACAGTGAACTATTTCATTTTGAACATGGCTGTGTCTGACCTGCTGCTCCCGCTGAGTGCTATCCCTGTTGAAATCACTCAACTGATGACTGACTCTCGGCATTGGAACGTGAGTGGAATCTTAGGCTCGATTTTTTGTGCGTCTTATTATTTTATCCGTGATTTTTCCCTCCATGTTTCCACTCAAAGCTTGGTATGGATAGCAGTTGATAGATTTATCGCCGTGGTTTTTCCAATAAAAGTTGGACTTATTTCAACCAAAATTCGCACAATAGCTATTACTTCGACCTGGATTTTTGCAGGAGTGTTAAACATCCCATGGCTATTAACATCCAAACTTGTAGAACGTGGTAATAACTGCACATTTTGCCTGGTGATATACAAAGCCGGACCAGTTTTTGCTGACAGGAGGCTATCGCAGTGTATATTTGGCTTCATCCGACCTTTGTATCTATCGTTCCGTTATTTGTGATAACCGTTTTATATTTTGTGATAGCAGTTTCCTTGAAAAAACAGAGTAAAGCCCTCACGGACACCGCACCAAGTCTGCAACGACATTCACTAAAGAAACGAAGACAAGATATTCGAGTGGCGGTTGCTATCGTAGTTTCGTTTTACATTTGTGCTATTCCTCAAACGCTAGTATATTTCGTATCCCACTTGAGACCTTCTTGTGCTTTTTTAACACCATCTGTTTACTTCATCGCGAGTTTTGCGTTTTCCTCGTCTACTGTTGTCAATCCAACAATTTGCTTGTCATTTGTTGGAAGTTACCGTCGTGGATTGAGAAACATTTTGTGTTCCTTCGTCACGAAGCGGAACAATAAGGTGACGAAATGCGAGCAAATAACTCTTAAGAGAATAAGGCATATTCCTGATGGAAACTGTGGATGACACAGGAAACCAAGAGGAAACATTGGATGCCTTCTTTGTGGTGAAACTCGTGAGGTGTCAGCATTTGGCTTAACAAGCACGAAATCCTTTGAGAAAGGAAGAAACGTCTTTATCACTGTTCACGACTCGAGGAAGTTAGAAGAAAGAAATAAGACAACTGAACTTTTGAGAACCTAGTACAATGCTATTTCGGGTAATTTTTTTAAAATTTGAAACTGGAAGTTTTGGTTCAATAGAATTCCTCATCGGATTTACTCAAATTAGCATCTCTAGCCGGATTCACATGTAACCGTTTTCATAGATGGTATTGAAATAGCTAGTTAGCTTGTTCGTAATGAGATATATGTGAAATATTGAGAAAATATGTTTGGGTCTTGTAATTTTTTCTCGTATTTCTTGCGAGCTCAGCGATTTCTATACTGACCTACTAGAGAACCAGTAGTGGATCCAGACCTTGAGCTAAGGAGGGGGCCGGGTTTTGTATTGCTTGCCCTGCCGGCTGTTCTTCCTTCTGTGATTTTTTCTTTTTTTACCCAAAATTAGGTGGT